GATAAGGTTATCGTCAATACGTGACTCTGCGTCCTTTAATGTTAAGATAGAGCTTCATGCAATATCTTATTTATCGTGTGGTTTACAAAATATTGTAATAAAATAACACTTCAAGTAATGTATGTATGTTGCTGTTGTTATGATTCATATACGTCATTGATTAGTTTTAATTAGTTTTATCTTTCAAGTAGTTGTAAGTACATACTGTCTTGCTTAAATAATTAAAAGCTGTCTGAAATTGATATAAATAATAATTTAAATATCGCTTTATGAAACTATTTTAATAATTCAAACTGCTAAAACGGATTTCAAATTCGATAATATTTTTCATTTATTTTTTTTTTATAAAAAAAAAATAGAACACATATATATTGATTATGATGTATGAAAAGAGGTTGTGGAGAAGTATTTTTGCATAAAATTACACAGTACAAAAACTTAATTTTAAGGGTTGGTGGTAGGGGTAACTCGAAAAAAATGGATTTTTCGATAATTGTCTGTACGTAGTTTTGTAGACATAAAAATGAGATGCAATTTTTATTTAAACTTTTTTTTATATCTCTCACCGTTCTGGACTTATTACGCGAAAAAAACAAATCTGCATTTTTTTCAAGGGGTGATATCACTCTTTCAAACCAAAATATGGCACGAAAAAAAAATAGTTTTGTGTTACGGATGAACTACTCTACTTGCACAAATTTTTTCAGAATTTTCTAAATTTTCGGGTTGCCTAACCTCCAAGATCGAGTTCGTCTCTCACCGATTTTGACGGACTTTGGATATGTAGAACATTCAAAATTATTAGACACGTGTTTTTTTATGTGCTTATCTTGAGATTTAGAAGTTGAATTAACCCTTTGAAAAAAATTGACTTTTTATTTTAAAAACTTAAAAACTTTATTTTTTTACAAATATCTTTTAAAGTACAAAGTATATGAAGAAATTTTTTATACAAAAGTTTTACAGTAATTTATACTTTTTGCAACGATGTATTAAAATTCTTAAAAAATGCCCAATTTTTTATCTCTCCCCCTTCTACTCGTTACTTTTGTAAATTTTCAAGTTAATACAAAAATTGAAGAATATTGAATGCCAAATTTATCCATATATAATAAGAAGAGATAGAGAAAGCAGGTGGCAACTAGGGACTTCCCCGAAGGAAAAGAGGATTCTCCGCCGTGGGCCCTCCGCCGCCTCTTTAATTGGGATGATTGAAGGGAAAGGAAGAGGAAGAAGAGGAGAAGAGAATAAAGAAGAATGTTTTCATTAAAATAAGAAAAAGAAAAAAAAGAGTAAGGAAAGAAAGAAAAAATGGGTTAAGTAGAGGGATGAGGGAATGATATTTTTCCTGATGAGGCGGTGAGTCTTCTGGACGTAACAATATATGTAATAAATAAAAATATTAATTTTATGTATCTATATGTACCGTTCGTGTATCATTATATGTATAATGAACTTACATACATAAATTAATATACGTGTGTCATCCTAGTGCTATTTTTAACTCACGATGAAATATCAGTTTTCCGGTATTAAGGACGTTAATATAGTGGGTACATTGTGCGCAATACGATCGAATGATTCTTTTTTATGCACACGACGATCGCGTGATTCTGTTTCTATGCGCGAAACGATAAGAACATCTATTAGTATGAGTCAGCTGTGGTTGTAGATGCACTGCGACGCACTAGTTGACTTTGCTCTGTGAATACAGTATGGATGGTATATGAAATCTTCTTTTAACGTATAATATGTATATGTTGATAATAATATCAATATTGATCATAATAAAAGTACTCTGAACTGTATACAGCACGCGAAGTTACAGGCGCTCTTAACCTTCTACAAAGTCCGATAACTTCGGAGGAAGTACAAGTGAACGAAAAGATTGAATAGATGCTCAAACAAAATAGAAAATAAAGAGAAAGAAGTCAAGTAGAAGAAGAGAAAATACTAGATTTTAATATTACATATGAAGAAAAAATTGATTTGTTTGAGCATTATCTTCCAGAAGAAATTATTTGTAATTCTGTTGAAGCAACAATATTAAGTGACTGTACAAATCAAATTGTGGATAACTGGAAAAGCGGTTTCAGTAACAAAAAGCGGTTCCATAAAACAGGACCAAGATTACTTGAAGTTAGACGAAAATTCATAAACGTAACATCGATACGACAATTATAACGATGGAAAAACTAAATCAATGCAGATAATAACAGAGATGAAAAACTAAAAAATTTCTGAACATATAATAAACATCTCAAGCGTTTCGATAAAGCTTGAAAAAGGAATAATTATTCATGACATTGACATTGCTCAATAGGCTTCTTGAGAAAAAAAGAGAAAAATGTGGCAGGATTTATAGTCTCAGAAACGTGTGTAAAAAGATTATACACGAAATTATGACACATGATATTGTGTCTAGGAAAATAACAAAACTTGTCACAAAAAAATCTTTGTTATAAAAATAGATTTGAAAAATAAATGTGACATATTTATTGCTAATGTTATTAAATATTACATTAGTAGAAATAAAAAATATAGTATGAAATAAAAAATATTTATAACTCGGATAGTGGATTCCAGTCTGAATGCCACTCCGATCGTTCCTTATTACATAAAGATGTAACATCGATACGACAATTATAACGATGGAAAAACTAAATCAATGCAGATAATAACAGAGATGAAAAACTAAAAAATTTCTGAACATATAATAAACATCTCAAGCGTTTCGATAAAGCTTGAAAAAGGAATAATTATTCATGACATTGACATTGCTCAATAGGCTTCTTGAGAAAAAAAGAGAAAAATGTGGCAGGATTTATAGTCTCAGAAACGTGTGTAAAAAGATTATACACGAAATTATGACACATGATATTGTGTCTAGGAAAATAACAAAACTTGTCACAAAAAATCTTTGTAAAAAAGGTAGAATCTGTAGTACAGTCTATACCAGCAACTACGCATAGTTACACTATACAACCGACTATTCCTACTGATGGTAGATTATTGTCGCTTCTTTTATTGTATTAAAAGAAGTTACAGGAACATTTGATCCAAAAATGCAAGAAATTAAAGCGCTTAATATTTTTATTATGGCTTCTATATTAGGCAAATTAATATCAAATTACGTAAAAATATGGTTAAAAGAAATAATTTTTCCGAATGTAGAACTACAATTTGTATCATTATTAGATTTATGAAGAAGGCATTAACTTAATATAATTGCAGAAACTAGATAAGATTCTGCAACAGATATTGTTCTTCTAACTATTCTGGTCGATACAACGGGAAAAATACGACCATTATATGTATACGATTTTCGATTATGGAAAAATTTTATTAGACATTTTTCTGATGCTATTATATTGTTAGATTTGGGAATTAATCTTCATGCTCGAAATAATATATTGAAATTACAATCATTAACGCACCATCAATTCTTGTCGCCAAAATTCCAAATTTACTTAACTATACAGGATTTAAAAGTGGATATATACAGAAACTAACAGAGTTTCAAACACCGGTTGAATTTAAAAAATTATTAAAAAATAAAATGCGATATTTGTAGCGAAACTGCTATAATTACATGTTCTTGGTGCAAAAAAGCACTTCAAATCTTGAATGATTCTTCGAAACTAGTTTTCCTTGAAACTAAGCGTCATACGTTGTTCCAACAAGAATCATCATGATTCTCACGTAATTTTAATATAGTCAAAAAGAAGTGCGAGAAAAAGTGACGAGAAATCTTCATCGTCGAATCTTGAGTATAAATTTGTATTATAGCAATTTATTGCTAATATATTTTACAGCAAAGATGTCTTGCAGTTGTTATTTATTAAATATTACATATTCAACCGATCGAAGTACGAGTAATTTGTGTAGTGATTGTGCATTTTGCTGATTATTTTTAGTAAATATAATGTTTATTATTTCAGTGGAAAAGCATCTAAATAAGTGGATATATAAAAATTTTGGATATGATATGGATCCACCAAGTCCGGAAGGGCTATCAGGAATATCTGGATGATCTGTAGGGCGACGTGGAGGAGGCGTGGGACATGCAACGCATATATTCCGGCTTGTGGGGGATATATTCTGCCTGCGCCAACTCTTTGGGATGGAACCGTATCCTGAGAAGGAGAAGTGGTGGTGATAAATATTTTATATTTTGTATGATGAAATCGCGCGTATGTTCTAATCAAACATTAATCTTTTTGTTCATTTCTTTTGTTACAGATCTTCCTCTGATGCCACGTTATATATATCATCTTTATATTTTATTTCATATTTTTACATATATTGCATGTCGGACATTTTACACATGTACGCATGTTTCAATACCTAAACCTCGAAATAAGCACATAAAAAATACGTGTCTAATCATTTTTGATGCTCCATAACATATGCAAAGCCCATCAAAATCGATAAGAGGCCTCCGACCATTTCCTTGTTAAATGCCTCGACCAAAATAGCAAATTCCTATAAACGATATACATTCCAATTTTATTCAAACGTAATATATTATACCGCTTCGTATTGTCAGGACGATCCCTTTCGATTCGTTCGATCCTCGTCGCCGGCAACGTCGAGCCAAGAAGGCTCGATCGAGTTTCACTCGCACACGACTTGAGAACGAACTCGCCGCCGGGCAACTCGAGGGAACACGGCACCCTTCATCGAGAGGAGCGAGCAGTAGCAATGCCTGCTTTGCCGGGCGCGACACCCCACATGGGACGGGCAAACAGTCCCACGCAGGGAAACGTCGCAGGCACGAGGTGTCTCGCTTCTAACCCCACGGCGAGCGCCACAGCAAACCGAGCTGTACGCGCGCAATGCCCTGTCCGTCTGTTCCTTCGTATATGCATGTGCATGCGTGTGTCTCATGTGTGAGCGTCGTATAGCTGTGTCATGTGGATCATGTGCTCGTGATGGTGTGTCGGTGCACATGCCTTCGTACCCGGCGCACAGGGGTTGCCAGACAATGAGTAACGAGTCTCTATAGCAGGCAAGGGTCGAAGAGAGAGCTGGTGAGTGAGTGAGTGAGTGAGTGTGAGAGAAAAGGAGAGAGTGAGAGAGAGAGAAAGGAGGGAGAGTGAGAAAGAGGAAGAAGGGAGAGAGAGTGAGATAGAGAGAGGAGGGTCAGGGGAAGTCCCGCATCTCCAATCGATTACAATAGCACCTAACCTAGGGTAGCGAGAGAAGAGAAGACTCATGCGAAGGTCCTTACTTCTCTCTTTCTCTTTCTCCATTCCCCTTCTCCTCTGCGCATACTTAAAAAAACAGAATATCATAATGAGCATACAACAATATGCTCTCGTTTAGATGAAAACAATAATTTTGCGTTCAGATACGTTGGAAAAATACAGTGAATTTTTATTCTCTGATATAGGTGCATGTATATGTAGTATACGTAAAAAAATATATATTTCTTATTTTCGACATCTTCCTTTCTTGGCACCACGACTACAGAGATGCTTGTCCCTCCTTCTATGCTGTTTCCTCTTTCTCTCTCTCTTTCTTCTATCTCTGTCTCTCGTCGACAAGCTTCGGGCGATCTCGGTTTTCGTCGGCGCAACTCGAATTCCCCCACCTGCCCGGGAATGTATGCAATGTTCGTGCGTGTTCCCCCTATTGCCCTCCTCTCACTCTCCCAACCCCTCACCGACCGTCCACGGTCCGCCGCCGGTCGGTCCACTGTCTCGTTGCTCCGTACACAAGTGGATACACCACCCTTGTGTGTCATGCGGCACGTTTTTAAACCGGACGCATAGCGATCCGTTGTAAAACGCGCGAGATTCTCATACGCAATACGGCGGCGCACGGAGGTAAAATACAAGGAGAATAATTTCATTGCGTCGTTTATAATCTGTTTTTAGCTATGCGTTGCCCATGGCTATCGATCAATCGAAGCGGGAACGTGCTGATATTTATACAAACAAAAGAATCTTAAATTATTATACACGACGTAAATCATCGATGATGAGCTTTGTAAACGAAAATAACAGAGAATTTACCGTCATTTAAAGCTGGTAACTCTGGAATTTCAAAAAAGAAAATATTTTCGGATTGTGTCAAGGAAAAATTCATTACGAAAACAACGGTACGCAATGAAAAAAAATATGAATTCTCAAAACAAACAACTTATGGTTGCTGTTAAATCATACATTGCAAGAGATGGACCTGCTAGAGTAGTTTACTCGTAGTAGCGGAGCGAATACATTGAAAAGAGACATTGAAATATATTTGAAAATTTAGTAGAATATTTTTTAGTAGAATATTGTTATTCTCGATTATTTTTTTAGTAGAATATTGTTATTCTTGATTGAGAATGAATCAAAATATAGTATTTTCGATAATATTGCAATAATTAAATGTGCTTGTAAAAAGTCTTCATGTTTCAAATACTTTTTCAACGAATATCTCTATTGTTGAGATTATAAAGAGCGTGCAGTTATATATTTTTCGCGGAACTTATATATTTTTATGATCGTGATTTAAAACAATATATACGGATAGATTAAGAATAAAAAAAGCAAAGTTTTTTCCTCATAACGAATTTAATCAATTAAAAATTAAGACTGACAATAGCTATTTTGTTAATTATTTGACATTTTTTTATTGTATGGTCGGAATTATGCATCCCTGATGAAAAAAGAGAGAGGAAGAGGAAGTGAGTCCCATTGTGCGACGGAATTTGTTGGAAACAAAAAAGGAAACAGAAAAGGAAGAAAGATATACATAAAGGAAAAGAAATTTACTGAAATCGAAGCGGAACGTTCCCAAACGACTCCTAGTGAGAGAAAAGATACAGCGTATCGCGAACTACCCTGTCCTCACGAAGTTAATGAACCGTCCGCGAGATTTTTCTCGGCCACGCACGCGAGTTTCATTGTTCCGCCTTGCTCGTCACTACTCGGTTAAAATGGGTGTAAGTATCGCGCGCGCGTACACACAACGCATTTACGGGACGATAACCCAGTGATGTAGGTAAGCAATCGAGTGACAGCAATAGAAGCAGCGGTGGCAGCAGCCTGGACTCCGCGCGAGAATCCATGCGACACGCGAACATAGCACGATACGCGCGAAATGCGAAACGCACCCGGCGTAACATCGACAAAGAGAATCGGTCCGGCCTCGGAAACCTTACCGCAACTTCCCTCGGGAAGGCTCGCCCGACGACAGGCTACCACGGGCGATCGCCAGCTGATGCACGCAGCAACTGCTTCGTATTTCTGTCGTTTTGCTTTTACCGGCCACTTTCGCGTCGGTGAAATTTTCGGATCATGCGGGAGAATCACCGCGACTCGATGTTGTTCGCGCTGCGGTTTCCCGACGTCAACATCGAACGTTTAACTGTACATTGTAGATCACGTGTTTAATTCTATAGACATGACGTTTTATCGAAAATGCTAAAGTGACAAAAGGATTATTAAAATTATACACGAAGAAGAAAGTTTACTTATAATGTGCGCGCACCATTTCGGTTGAATAAAATAGAATTTCTGGTTGCCAGGGTAAAATTTGGGTCATAGAAACCAGAAATTCTGTGTCTTTCAATGGAAACGATCCGTTCATTAAAAAACCAATTCTCACATTAATATAATAAAATCTTTTCAAAGAGGTTTTCATGGCTGTAGATGCTAAGAGCATCTTTCTTTTTCATGCTTCGATCTACATTTGAATCACGTCACAATGTCGCGATAAGCAGAATTTGTTTACAGAAACTTTGTCGTTAGAATACAAGACCTAGCGATACCTTGTGTACTTTATACCACGAAAGTTGCAAAAAACGTTCGTTCGACGTAAACACGGTCACGCAGCGAACGGTTAAAGCGTCTCATGCGTTGTTCGTGCGTGCTGTTTATACCCGATGGCGTGCCTCCGTTCGCTGATAGCAAACACGTCTCCGAAGATAACCCCTTAACCGGGCAGCGCGATAATAGAGCTGGGCCATAGAGCGACGTCAATAGCGACGTAACCAGGATAATAGGTAAATTTTGTAATATCGTTGCCTTGCGCACGGTAAACATTCCATCTTGCGATGCGAGACAATAATTATGACCAACCAAACGTGCTGCACTTGGAGAAATTTCGACCGCTCTCGTCGTCTTACAAAGTCGCCACATTGGCCTCGTCGAGGAGAGAAAATAATGATTGAGACAAGGAAAATGATGGCTCGCGAAACCGGAACGAAGCCGGAAACGCGAGCTCTTGCTCGAGGATAAAACTGCGCGGACGGATATCCCGTCGAACGATCGATCGAGCAACAATAATTAAAATGCAACGAACAATTCGGTTGCTTGGATGATCGCTGCTGCAATCGGCGCAACGGATCGAATGGCGTCGTTCGCACGACCAAATTTTCTCACAACCGGACCAAGATCATTGGAATCGGTTAAACGAAGATATAAAAAAGTAACATTACTACGACAATTACGACGATGGAAGAAGTACTTGAATGCAAGTAGTACTAGAAGAGAAAAATTGCAAAGAATTTCTGATTATACATAAAATTATTTCAATAAAGCGCTCCAAAGAGAAACGATAATTCATGATATTGACATCAGTCGATAGGCCTCTCGAGCACAACAAGAAGAAAATGTACCAAGATTCACAGCGTCAGCTATGTGAATACAAAGATTCAAAATTAAACATAATGTAATATCTCGTAAAATATCGAAATTTATCACAAAATTGTCTTTCTTATCAAAATTAGAATTGGAAAATAAGTGCGATAACATTTATAACTAATGTGAAATATTATATTAAATATAGATATAGAGTGGAAAATATTTACAATTCGGATCAGAGTGGATTCCAGTTAGAACTTCACGCCGGTCGTACATTAGCAAATAAAAGTGCAAAAACAATAGAATCTGTAGTACAGTCTGTATCAGCAACTATACATAGGTATACAATATAGCCGATTATTTCCACGAATGGTAGACTATTGTCGCCTCTTTTGATCGTATTAAAAGAACCTACAGGAACGTTTGGCCCACGAGTGCATTATTTAACGTTCTTAATATTTATGTGTAGTCGCATCAAAATTTGATAAATTAACATCAGCTCATGTAAAAACCTTGTTGAGAGAAATTTTCTTTCCGAATATCGGGCCACAATCCATATTATTATTAGATTCTTGGAGTGAGTATCATCCATCGTAAGGAGATAAAAAATTTGACGTATTTCAAACAAATGAAATACGCCGTTGCAAAGAGTATTGAATACTGTAAAACTTTCATAGGAAATATTTTTTCATATACCTTATATCTTAGAAATTATTCCATAAAAATAAAAAAGTTCATTTTTTTTCAAGGGGCTGTTTTAATCCCTAAACCTCAAGATAAGCCGATATAAAGAAATATAGATTTTTTATATTTTGATGCTCTACAACATATCCAAAGCACATTGGTGAGGGACAGTTCTGTTAGGTCTCTTGTCAGACATATTCGTCCTCAGCGGATCTCGCTCGAGAGCGAAGCACCTTCTTCCTCTCGTCTTTTCGTGCACGATCACTCCAACACTCGTATCGTCGCGGCGGCGGGGCCTGACTCTAATTCACGCGCAACCACGCGCATTTTCGGCGGTTCCGGAGGCCGTCGGGTCTAGGTAGGCAGTTGAAATTCAGGTTTTCGAGCCGCCCGGCTTGTACGGGCGGACGAGCCCGGCGTTGTTGGCCCTTCGATCCCACTGCTCCTGGTTCTCCTGAATACCATCGCCGCCTGTACATTCCGGTACAGACCCGTCCAAAAATTCCCGCAAGTGTCACGAATACCGCGGCCGCAGCCACCGCGGCCAGCCGAGCGCGCTCGCTGAGGCAGCTCTCTCGCCTCGGAGCACGCGAGAGCGCCCAGAGAACTTATCGGGACGGAAAAGTCGCTCTGCGTGAATCTAGGTTGCGGCAGCGTCCTTTACCGATGCCCAACGTCGATGTGCTTTTCAGTATTAAATATTTCAAAAGGGGAGGGAGGGAGGGAGGGAGAGAGAGAGAGAGAGAGAGGGGAAGATGCGAAGATTAACGACGAAGGGACTCTTGCGTCAGAGGAGAGTCGGTGAGGCGCGTTTTCCTTGGATTGTTAAACGGTACATACGTAATAGGATAACAGCTGAAAAAATAGAGAAAATGAGAAATAGACCGAGGGAAATGACTAGTGTGCCGAATGACTTCTTGAAAAATCTGATCGACAGAAATATTTTATCAGGTTGCGCTACAATAACGTTTCCATCACACACCTGTTCTCTTTTGTGTGTGCGTGATTGGTTATTGTTATCAATCTCTCATTTAAAACGAAGGAGAAAAGTGACAAAGTTGACGAGTCAACGAATAGAAAACAATAATATTTGTTTTGGTGTATCAGGAATGAGAAGAGAAATATATAAAACTGGGTGGATAACAGATAGAACAGAAGCAACAAATAACAGCGTTATGGCCGCGCATCGACCAAAGATCGCGTCCAGTAGATAATGGGTAACATTGATCGAGACATCTTCGTATTTAGATCTGTTGACGAATAAAGATGTATTCCTAGGATGACGAGCTGTCTACAGCTAGGTCAACAAATAGTGTGCACAGATATCTGTCCTTCTGAAGACTTTCGTTGCGCTAATGACAACAGGAACGTATAAAAAAATCGGTAGAAAGACAACAGAAGGTTAAGAGATAGGTAAATAAGAGATTAATATATAAAATTAATTGAAAGAAATAATTAATTGGAGAAAAATAGACATATGCGTGTCATAATTAACCCTAATCATAATTAATGCTTTTTATTGTCATGTACATGTCAATATCTTAAAATGTTACTTCTGCTTTCAATATAATGTCACTTCTCGTTTCTTCGATTACTCAACAATCATGGAAAATACATAACTAGAGATGAATTCTGCCAGTCAAAAGCTTTTAATTACTATCGATATATCGATACAATATCCATGAAACTGAATGTATCACAAGAAACTATAGTATTAAAACCTAATCAAATGTATAGGTTTCGTTATTATTTTCCGTTGTATTTTCATATCTGATATAGCGCGATACGAATGGCCGACTTTAGACAAAGTTATGTACTTTGGAGTTTGACGCTAGTTCATTGTAAGAGATCATTTCAATCGTTATCGCAAAAGCCTTTCGTGGTTTTTTTTTCCTTGTAAAGTAACGCGATTTTCAATTAGCCCACGTCGACTTTCCCATTATTACGCGCGGCGAGAAACGGCGACGCAGGTTACTTCGTTCTTTCTTGCGCAACGCGAGTTTCGTCCGGCGAACTTCGGCACTTCGGTTTTTTTCACGGTCGCAATGAACCGAGGTGGCTGAGGATTTGTCACGCCGAAAAGTGACGGCAGTCGAGGAGTAACTCTTCCTCTACTTCTTTCCAGGGAAAACGCCGCTCGTGTTTATGTATATTCATCACCTACATAATCTTTTCAGTGATGTTTGTCAGATATAATGAGACGAAGCGAGCTGAAGCGTACAACGCATGTACGTTATTGTGGAATAATTTGAGAAGATCGAAAAATAATTTTTTGCACGGAGGAGCAACTTCCACCGCTGATCCTCCGGCGGAATGTTCAGGTTCCACGAAAGGAACGAACGAGAGGAGAGACGGCGAGCGGTCGGGGGAGCGTGCACGCACGCCGTACGGTTTGATCCTCCTTCTCCTCCTCCTCGTCCTCCTGCTTCCCCCCTTTCTCTCCTTCCGCTTCTTCTCCTCGTGAAACGAACGCTCGATCTCCACATACGGGGCTACAAAGACTTCGTTAGTTCTACTTGAACCTCTGGCAAAAAATGGAAGAAATTTTCGACGAAACAAATAAATGTATTTTGAGATTTCGTCATTTTTTAGAAATTAAATAGTCTTCTATAAATATTGTTGCGAAAGCATTAATTAGTCTTCATACATCACCACAACTGATATCAATGACTGATGTTACAGCCGTAATAACAAAGGAACATTATGAAAAAATTATTAGTGAAACTCACGACGAAATGTTTAAATTATGGGAAGACGAAAGACGTCGCAGACTAAAACAATTTGTGCAAACGGAAAGATCTTATATAACATCATCGTCACCACGATTGACAACATTGGCAATAAACCCTGTTACGTTTACCGAGGACGAAGATTCAATTCGTGATAACCGAGGTTTTATTACACATAAACGTAATAGACGTCGCAATAATAGCAATAGCGGCAAGGTAATTATTGGTAATTTTTTAATAATTAAATGATTCAAATTCAAAATTATATTTTTTAGAGATTGTGAGTACGCCGCACTCAACAATCTACTGACAATGATGCAGATGCAATAACTAAAAAGAAAGTACATAACTTTCGCGTCGCCTCCAATAAATAAGCGTGGGAATCAACCGGGACGCACTAATGCTACGCGTTATCCTTCGTAACAACGGCACCTGACTGTTTACCGTAACGCCGCGGATCGAAAACATTAAAAAATTATTAAGTCGGCACTAACGGAAGACACGGCTGGGTAACACGACGAACCATGACCCACTTTCCCGAGAATTTCGGAAAAATTCATCCGGATCTACATGGATTAAATTAAATTGATTCTGGGATTCAAAAAATTGGCAACTTTTGATTTTACGCCTAAATCGGTTCGATCCTCGGGAATGCGTTACTATTGGCGAGCAACCTAATTTTCTCTATTTGAAATGTCAATTTCCTCGAGTTTTTACGAAGCCTATCGCAGCAGGTCTTTTAAACGAACGAGCGAGTCTGGGAAGAAGAAGACCGAGGTCGAATGCCTGCATTCGGCGAAGAAGAGCGACGACGAGACGGACAACTCGTCGGTGTCGGTGAAACCGACGAGCAGTGGCCGACCGTTCTTTCGTCTTTCTGGTACGACCTGGCCGGTGCCAGGAGCGCACCTCGCACGGATGCGCACTGCTGCCCGCCTCCGCTCTGCATCGCGGTGCATCCGTCTTTTCCCGACCGCGCCACGTCGCACCGCGTCTCCTACTCCCGACTTTCGCGAACACGCTCTATATAATAATTGTCGCGCGAGAAAATCGCGCCAAACGTGATCTCGACGTTTCCATGAATTATTCCAGAAAAATGCTCAGGAGTGCTCACGTTCCATTTTTAAAACGTATATGCCGTGTGAGGAAATAATATTTAAGATAATTGGTTCTCGTGCGTAATAAGGTTAACAAGCACCGTTAGAGCGATATTAAAATCGTGTCACATCGTCGTGATGAGACGGAAACTAAAAGGGAATCGAAGATGAATATAACAGAAGCGAGCCCGCAGAATGATTCATTCGTCGCACGCTGAGAATACGACTTAAATTAATCGTGAAAGAATGAAATACGGTTTGTTATACTTCGTGACGGCACAAAGTAAGGCAAAATCTAAAAAAAAAAACCGCATAATACCTAAAATAAAGTTATATAAATTTCTAGTTTCAACACGCTTGCTGTTATGTCCAAAAAGTTATGGTTCAAAACAATTCAGGTTGAGCTATGGACCAACCTATACAAGAAAGTGTATAGAAACATTTGTATCCCCTTTCATTCCCCTTTTACAAACAATTTTCGATTATTGGTTGGTTTGCCGCGATACACTTCGCGTGGATGGCTAAACTTTCTGTTCTGATTTTGGCTTTAAAATGAAATATGATTATCAAATATTCTAAAAATTATTACGAATCGAAAACAGAGTATTCGCCTCACTATGCGGCAGTGTAGAATAGCGATAATGCCAAGATTGCACGTGATACTTCTCGGCTATTCAGGCACTATAATCACCTCTTCGTTCGTTCACTCGGCACGTGAATTGTTCAGCCACCGAGATGCTGCATCGCTAAGATTAAGTCCGAGTTACCTAGATGTCCTAATTAGATTTCAAATAAAGTCGTGCGGCCAAAGCGCGTACAGGACGGGGAAGAAGATATCGGAAAATATTCTTCAAGAAAGCATGTCGGTTTAACAATGAATAGCGAAAAAGAAGGAAGATATTACTGCATGAGAAGATAGTTCGTAACATAGTAGGGATTTAGTCCAACACAAATTGCGAAAGAGAATTAACGCGCCCAATGGTAAAGATTAAAAAGATATGTTAAAGGTTTTTTACGGTCTTAAATGTATTTTACGTTTTGAAATTTTTCAAAAATGTTATATTTTCCAACGTACCCTCATAATTTCTTTTTAAGTCTTCAAAATTTTTTACGAGCAAATTAAAGATAAATTTATACCGAATTCAACAATGAATATATGTAACAATGTTATATTCGGAAAAATTATCTTTCTGGAATTAGCTGAAAATACTTGACAGCATGCCGTCTCATATTGAAATTCGAAATTGATTCGAAATTGATTTTGATCAATTTTGAAATTTTTGTTGGGATATTGTATGATCTTGCATCGCGAAGTCGAAGACATAGACTACATTATGACATGTCATCACATGACATTTCAACGATTGGAATCATTGTTGATTCCATGAGGATTTACGAAATATTTGGTCTTGAACACTGACAACATAGGTACCGAGAGTTCCATTAAAGAATAAATTTTTTTCACGGAATATATTAGAAAATAAAAAAAAACTTTTTTCGATAATATAAAACCAACTTTTTCCAAAGGAATATTCCATCTTCTAAATTTGGGAACGTTTATAAAGGAAAACAAAGGCACATAAGAAAATTCATCTCGCTAATAGAGACGTGCAAAAATCAATGAAGAGCAAAAGTAATACTATTGTAAGCATATAATACATGTATAGCAATACACGCTAAATGAAACAAACTTAACAAACAGCACTTAATCTTGCTAAAAATATTAAATGGCACTGCGCATTGTCGTTCTACTGTGCGAAAACAAAAGATATAATTTGTGCCCCGCGGCTGGCGGGACGAAACGTAATATTGCTTAATCCCCGCGCGTTTAAAAATGCTTTTAACGATTTTTACAGGCATTAGGATATTATTCGCCGATGACATAGTGTAGCGTATCCTATATTACGTAACTCTGTTCTTTCAACATACACCCTAATGTTTAAAGATTTTCCATTAACAGCAAACGAACGATAACACTGTGAAATATTTTTTACGTGGATCTATCGAAAAGTATTTTTCTACGTTTGAAATTGGATAAATCTGCAATTCACGACGGATTCTGAACACAATTTTCTAATTGCGATTTCATATGTCGTTTGACATGAAAAACACTGGAAGATTTATAGATGTGTGTACATATATAATGTATGCGAGCATCTATAAATATATATGCAATCCTGATTCTTTGAGTGTTTTCCGATAAAGAAAATCTCGTTCCAAGTCCCGTCACGAATTGTAGATTGGCCGAAATGATCCTTAAGAGAACACAGCATTCACGATCGTAACAATCGATCATAGATTAAAATGAAATTCGTGCAGCTTCTCTCACACCCGGTAGAGTCGCTGTTGCGTCAAATATGCAGATTAAGTCCGTAGAACAGACCAAGGACGTAGCATTGCAAAAAGCGTATAACTCTCGCACACCCAATACCCGAGTCTTGAATCTTTAATCTTCCGCTGCCAATCGGCTTGATCGAGAAACATATGAACGAAGGTCGTAGTCTTCGAATTTAATCTCGACATTTTCGTTACGAGAAGCGCATACGCGTACTGACATTTCGGGATCGTCGTGTGCGCTTGTAGATTAGGCAAAAGCAAACAAAAAACCATTGTATAAACAGCCGCATAAAATTCTGAGGTATTCATTAAAACACTTATATGAGTGATATTGCGCACGATTATATATAAATATTGACAAATCGCGCAAGTTTATTCATCAATCTTCTTTAATCAATACTCAAAATTTTATTTGGTTGTTCGCAAAATAATAGAGAAATTTTTTGTTCAGTTTGATTTAATCTACACATTACGAGAGCTTTGTATGTTACCGCCAGATTATTATATATATTATATAATTCTTTCTTTCTCTCTTTCTTACAAACCATTTTAAAACTTCAAGAAACTTATATACCGAATATGAGTTCCGCGAAAGTATTCTTCTAAAATTTAAATTGTTGTAAAATCTAAATGCATAGAGTCATAAAGTATATTAATTATCACGAAACTTTTACACTTTCCTTTCATTATTCATTTCGTGCATCATTGTTCAGCATCATCGATGCCGTTTTCTCGAAAACGTCTAAGAGTGCTAGCCCTTCAATATGTTTTATTACTCCAGTCAAGGATTATTATAGAAAAAAGTTTCGTTCCAATTCGGCTCTCGCGTTCTCCAGTAAGAATTGAAGGATCTATTCGCGCATGAATATTCTTATAAAATTTGCATGCGAGAAATACGATGATGCAAGCCAAAGCAGTGCCAAATGCTTAATTTCGAAGTTATGGAAGGATGCTGCCAGATGTGACGAGGTACGTTGTGACATTCGCACTGACTAAGAATTGAAGGATCCGCTTGCGCATGAATATTCTTATAAAATTTTCATGCAAGAGACACGATGATGCAAGCCAAAACCGGCGCTAAATACTCAATTTCGAAGTTATGGAAAGACTATTGCCCAATGTCACGAGATACATTGTAACATTTACACCTACGCGACCTGAATGAAAAGTCACGTAAAATTAACGCGGCACACAGAACAAGTTACACATTTAACTATTTTTTGAATATCATTAGATTTCGAAGTTTGGTCAAAGAAATAATATTTTAAAAATACAATTATTACACACAATTTTCTCTCTTTGTAGCCGACGTTTAGAAATTTATTCAAACATATAGTATAAAAGTGGGTATACAGACCACTAGAATATGAAACACCTGTCGATTTTTGTACTAAAAACTATTTATAATCAATCAATCAATTCATCATGTACGGAATAGCAAATTATTACGTTCAGTTATGTTCAGCGAGAGAGGGAATATAACTTTCTCATAAATTCATGACAGAATTTGGCGCAAAATACGCTTTAATTTAGTTGCAAAAGAATTTAAAAATTTTCAAAAACGACAGCGATTGATGGAAGTATCTTGAAAAATGACATTTCTGTTAAAAATATTTTTTTCATATTTCTTATGATTCCGGCAATATTGGAAACGTAAAAACCATTTTCTTTCAGAGGATTGTTTTCAAAAATTCAGAACAGTTTGTCAGCATTCATAGAAAATTTGTTACCTGCGTTGTGGTAATAAACTCTTATTGGCTTATATTTTAATAGTTTCATTCATACTTATGCAAATATTTAGATGTTTTCGAATTTTTGTATTGTCAAACTTTCCTGTATTAGGCAGTACGATTTTTAACCATTCTATCTCCACGTACAGTTAAAAATTATAGTAAGCTTAATAATATAAATGTCAAAGCGTATATGCCTTCTTTTTTTCTTTCTCTTCTTCTTCTCTTCTTAACTGTGTACTTCTCTGACATGTGTAATACGACACGTGTCGCTCTCGAAAGATCCAAATGAAAATCCTGCATGGTAAACGGCAACTTATTGCAATTACAAGATCAGGCGGTAACGATCGGAACTTAGTAGGACTGAGGTACGTAGAACGTCTATAGCAGAACCTCGAAATCGAGGTCCATTCTGAATATTTACTTTTCGTTCGCGTCCAGAGTCAAAGAACAGACTCGTATCTCGAGGAGAGAGAAAGAGGAAAAGAGAGACGTAGGCTCGTCGAGTGTCGTCCTACGCTCGATTGTCGCGACCCGAGGTCTGTCCAAGGTGGTCAAGAACAACGAGAATTCACTCTGCAGCGTGGTTTCACAACGACGATGCGTCGCCTCGACGAGACGCGCAAGATGAAGAGAAGGATTCTCGACTGCCTCGCGCTTCGATACCAACAAAGTTTTTTCTGCTTTCTCTTCTTCAGTTGACGACTTCAACGACGCAACCGAATTAAGCCCATCTTGCCTGTGTTCTCGTAAAAAAATACGTAAAATGGCACTGTATGTGTTGTGTACGTAAAAATTATACTTGTTTCCAGTGAGCGTGTTGCATACGGAAGACTGACGAAAGTAGAATGTAAAATGAAGCGTCGATGGACTCGGTTTTGGACTTGTCCCTTTCCACCGCTTTTGAACATTTTCTCGCGGCTGCTTTGTATGCACCTTGAGAAAAAAAAATAAAGAATCCGTGCAACGGCATTTCGGAAACGAGTCTCGTGAACATTCACAGCGATCGTGTTCAGCTTATCGCCGGAAGTCATGTTTTCTCGATCGCGCGCGTGCTGTAATTACTTCGGATATATCCTTTCCCTATTTTGAAGGTATGAGACGAGGAAAGGATTTGAGAACGTTGAACATGTCCACATAAGACGGATATACCGCAACGTACGTAGGTTAGCGTGAGGACATAAGCTCGCACATAAGTTGCGTGCGTGATGCTGCTGGCGAAGCTAGGTCGGCTAGCTGGCACAATCTCAACGTGGATCATCGTTGAATTGTGCTCTATCTCGTTGCCTCATAGCGCAACATTGCTCTCGACGTTTTTCATCGACTTGGCGAATCGCACAGGCTGCGTGCGTTATCGAGGTCAGCCGGAGAGGTCACGAGATCCGCTATCGGGGATCATTTGACTTGGTTATTTATTCAGCGACGCGCCACGCCGCGGAGTGACCGATATATCAAGAAAAAACTCTTGCGGGGCCTGCTGACGTTCGTCGCAATAATTAATACGCACGCGAACGACGCCAGATACATAATAGTATAATTAATTTCTGCGGAGAGAGTGCACGGCGCGAGATGAAGAGAGTAGTTATCGATATACAGCCGGTAAGAAAGAGGGACAGAAAGAAACAAGGAAAAAGAACATTACAAACGAGACAGAATCTCGAGAGAGAGCGCAACTTCTTCGAGAGAAAGACAAGGTTTCTTTAATGCCGTACTTTCTGCCGGTATTTTGTTAATTTTCTCTTCTTTCTTTTAGGATCGCGAGAATCATGAGTCAGTCAATCCGTCAGTATCGTCGCTCCATATTGCACGCGTCACGATTATTAATACACAGATAAGAATGACTGTCGATCTATCGTTATCGAGAGAAGCGTCTTCCGCGAAGCGTCAGACGAAGAAGCAGCGTAATGACACTGATCGTTGAGTCAACCCACTTGATGATAATACAGATTAAAAGCGCATTCTCTACGTATATATCGTATCGGTCCGATTGACAGCACGTCCGCGATCGCGATCTGCTTTACATGAACCTGGAATGGAAAAAGCGAGACACACCGACGAAAAATGCACCATTGCAATCAATCTATCGTTCAATCGACGAGTTCAGTCGACAAGTCCGCATTGACGCGTCTCCGACACCGATGATCGTACACGACAATCGTAGCACCGTGGCGAGCTCGCGGCGAAAACCCGAGACGCGATATTCGTTTCCTTTTTTCCTAAATTCGACGGGTCCAGTCGCCGTAATCGAAGGCGAGAGACACGGACCCGCCGTTGAATTAACCTAGTGATCATCTTCGACGCGCGACGACCAAGTACGATCGGAAGTATGTGTGCTCGAGACGTCCTCCGCCTCTGCTTTCTTGCTTCTTTCCCGAGAAGAAGAAGCTGCTAACGAAGAGTATTCGAAAAGAGAGTACCACCCGCGCCGCGGTGGTGTTTCTCGAGAACGCGAGCTGCGCGACCACTCGACGAATTTCCGTCTCGAAGCAGCGAGTTAGCGTTGTTCGCGACCGTCGCCACCGAAGACGACGACGTCGACGTAGTCGTCGTCGTCGTCGTCGTCGTCGTCGTCGTCATCGTCGTCGTAGTCATCGTTGTAGTCGTCGGCGACGATGTTGATAACGGGCGCGCTCGGGAGATCTCGTATCCCGAGCGGTAGTGGACTTACCGCCTGCGGTGCGAACATACGCGCGTAGATGAGGTCAGTTGGTCGCATGAAGTCGTCCTTGTCGTCGACGCGGCGATGACGGTGACGGTGGTGATGGTGATGGTGGTGATGGTGGTGGTGGTGACGGTGATTATGATGACGGTGACGATGACGGCGTTCGTCCCGACGAGCGCTCTGCGACGGAAAAAGCCATCACCGCACGTGCCACAGGCCAAGATTCAACGTACTCAGCTGCGGCAACTTCATGATTCGCTCGAGGCCGCTAGTGGTGATCTTGGTGCAGCCGTACAGGTCGATGCACTTGAGATGCTTCATGTTCTCGGCCATAGTGTGCAGACTCCGGTCGGTCAACCGGCTGCATTGGCCGATGTTGAGGGTCTCGAGGTCGTGCAGGGTCTTGGCGATCTTGCAGATGCCCTCGTCGCTGATCTGGCAGGCGGACAGCGACAGGGACTTGAGATTGAACAGACCCTGGGAGATGTGGACCAGCGCCTGATCGCCGATCTTGTCGCAGAACGACACGTCGAGCGAGGTGATGCGACTGCCACCTTCGGCGAGGTAGGCCATACCTATGTCGGAGATGTTGTCGCACGAGCGTAGATTGAGCTCGCGCAGACTCGACATCCGAGCCAAGTGCTTGACGCCGGAGTCGGTGATGCAGACACAGAATGACAGGTTGATGGACTTGAGGGTGGTGAGACCGAGCGAGACGTTTCTGAGCGCCTCGTCGCTCAGTCGCTGGCAATCCTGCAGACTCAGGTGTTCCAGGGCGAGATTCCCGTCGGCTTCGCGATTTAATCCGGCCAAATAAGCGATACCCTGATCGGAGACATGCCAGCAGCTCCTAAGGTCCAGCCGCTTGAGCTTCTTGAGTCCCCACGCGATCACCATCAGACCAGTGTTGGTGATGTTGCAGCAACCGCCCAGCTCGAGGTGCTCGAGATTCTTCAAGTACTGCGCTATCCGGCCGAGCGAAGCATCCGTCACCTGCTTGCAAAGTGACAGATTGAGTACGGTGAGGGTCGGCAGCTCCTGCGAGAAGCCGTTCGTGATGCCGCTGTCGGTGATGTTATAGCAGCCGGACAAGTTGAGCGCCTCGAGATTCGGCACGCCCTTCAGAACGGCGCTTAAGCCATGCCTGAGCGACAGTACCTGCACCTTCTTGACGCCGCGTCGTACCAAGCTGGCGAACAACGCCGGTGCTTGTTTCCTCAGGTGTAGACGCGCTTCGACCCCTCGCCATACCGAGCGATAATAAGCGGCATCTCGCCACGCGGTGCACACTTGCGCCGCCCGTCCTTTGTCGCGCACTTCCAGATAGCTGAAGATCAGGGCAAGGATTTCCGGATAGAGGCAGGAGACGTGAGTACTCGCGACGGCGTGTCCGGCCGCCGCGGCGGTACCGCGCGGCACCTGCGGCATCTGCCGCGACGAGATTCCGCCCTGAACATACGCCGGCAAGCCGGCGGCGTTCGCGGGACCGCCTCCTCCGCCGGCACCGCCGACGCCGCCGCCAGCATCCGAGCTGGCGTTGTAGTGCGGCGCCGTGCTGGAGTTGTGCATCGAGATCGCCTGACTCTGCGGCGTCGGTATCGCCAAGTGTGGTTGGTGCAGGTGGTAATAGTGACCGGGCCTGTGTAGCAGCGTCGTGCCGCCGCGGCTCGGCGTGAGCGCCGGAAGTTCCGTCATCAACAGCTGACTCTCCTCCATGTCGGTCGTGAGTGTGACCGCGCCGTAACAGGCGCGCGTCGCTTCGCGACCGACGACGACGACGACGAGTGAGCAGCAGCAGCTGCCGGTAGTGCGCCCGTCGTCGTGTCCTTGTCCGTCGCGATAATTATTATATCTGTCTATCTTTAACTCGCACCTTATCCTCCTCCTCCTCCTCTTCCTTCTCTTCTTCCTCTTGCGCCTCCTCACTCGGATCGGCCAGCCGTTCAAGCTAGTACGGTAACCTAGTACAGTCCCGGATGAGAACGCGTCGTCACTCGATGGTGATCGCGTAACAAGCGTCTATCCGCCCGCGCGTCAATGTACAATGAACACACGCGCACGATGTGGTACGATACGGAGCCACGCGCGCGCGCGCGCGCGCGCCACGAGAAATGCCCGCTATCGATCGTGGCTATCGATCGCCGCGCTACGCGCTCACCAGCGCGGTATCACCGCGTCGACGCGGACGGATCGCAGCGCGCGATCCACGACGTGGTCAAGCCGCGTACGACGCGGACAGCGAGTCGGTGGGAGGCGACGGACGGCCGGGACGAGAGGGGAGGGACACACAGCGGGATTTATCTCGCGATCGACGACGGTGCGCGACCATCGACCGATATCGGAGAGAAGAGAGAGAGAGATGACACGCGACTTTTTGTATCGTACGCGCCGCGCACAACTTGTCCGTGAGAGTTACGGTTTCACGAAAGCACCATTCTCTCGCGCGGCACATGTAGAAACACCATCGCGCGTATACCTTGGGGTCTCGATTCTCCGTTCCTCGTCCGTCTCTCGCCGCGTCTGACTTCTCCCTCTCACTTGCTTCGTCTCGGGAAGTCCTTTTTCTCTCTCTCTCTCTCTCTTGCTTTCTCTATCTCTCGCTCTCGCGTTTGCTCACTCACTCGCTCGCACTCTCTCTCTCTCTCTTTCTCTCACCCTTCGTTTCTCTCTCCGTCGCTCTTTCTCTCCTTATACCCGCCTGCTCCCACCTCGCCTCTTGCCACTCACTCGCGCTCTCGATCTTTCTCGCGCACACCGCGGTCACTTCCTCTACTCTCTCGCTCTGTCCCGTGGCCGCGACGACTGGCTGGCTCTCTTTTTGCACGCGAGACGACTACTACGGCACGAGCATGTATACATATGTATACATGTACATAGATACATATATATATATATATATATATATAGGTATATATATATATATGTACGGGACGCTCACGCGCGCACTGCGAATACGATAGGTTACGAACCAGCGGCGGCGGACACACGCACGGTGCGTGTGCAACACGCAGTGTCGTAAGAGAGACGAGACGGTACCAAACGACGACGACTCTGTTCCCCGTACACGTGCTAACGCCGTGACGTCCTTGTCGCTCTTCTCCTCGTCGTGGTCGTCGCCGCCGCTGCCGTCACCGTCCTCCTCGCCGTCGTTGCCGTCGTCGACGTTGTTGAACGCCCGTCGACGTCAATGTGTGTCGTGTCGGGGTCACTCGTACGTCGACCGCCGTGCGTGGAGCGGCACATCGCCAAACTGTGAACCGGTGCGCTGCCAGCCGCGGACTGTTGTTCCGCCTACACGAACGCAGATGTCGTGCTGTCACTCCGTGGGCACAGGCGGAGCGAACGAGGCTCGCTCCGACCGCCGATTGGCCTGCGCTGCTGGATACCGTGCCACGTGACCGCACCGGCGAATATCGATTCGGGTTGCGCTGCGGCGGCATTTTTAAGTTTTCGTTGCGAGGTGGGAGGGTCGGAGGGGCCGGGGGAGAGGGTGAGGCACACACGGTGCGGGCGCATCGTATACCCTGGACCACCACGTTGCGAGGGCTGTGCGAGGGACGACTGCACGTTGGATAATACCGAGAATGCTCCGTTGTCGATCCCGCCGTTCTCGATCGCCGATGCTCTTTTCCTTTCGTCTCATTTTCGCCTTCGTCGATCGCCGCCCGTCGTTGCTAATCGGCGATACGCGCGACTACGAAATTTTCAGCTTCACCGGCGAGAGAGAGAGAGAGTGAGAGCGAGAAAGAAAGCTTTCGAAAGTTCAGGGGTCGAGACGCGATAGCTTTTATCTGTCGTTGCTTTTGCCTTGCGAATCTTCGATCGACCCCGCCGTCGACCCCGGATCTATCCTCGGTCCGCTTCAAAATTTACCGTTTCCGACGATTACGCATTTATTCTCAATGTTTCGCGTGAATGTATCGCAATGTAAGCACAAGTCGACGTACCCTCGGTTTGTTCGTTAGAAAGCCATTGATTCACAGGACAGTTTCCGTACAAAAGTCGCAAAAATCTGATGGAAGTGATGCGATAGCATCATCCTCACTCCGACACCCTGGATGTATGGCGATGACCTTTCGATGATCACCTTCTTCAGATCGTGACAAATAACTGCAGCTTGTGCGAGCTGTGCGATCACCGAATTTATCTGGTGCCTCGTGTGCTCGTTGTTTGTAAACAACTTATTGTAATAAATTCCAAGTCATAAAAAAAGACGTTAAAATGCGCCTATTATTATTTCAAATAAATTCTCTCTCTCTCTCTCTCTCTCTCTCTTGCAGAGACCTCAGATGTCCTGAGAGTTAACTTATTTTTAGCTCGTATATAGGCGAATTTTTTTCAGACAAGATATTTAAGATCGAAAGTAACGCGGTCCCATGACGACTTAGGAGACAATTTGCACGCTAATTAATGGAATTGCAGGATCGTGCTGCACATTCGAGATGCCGTGGTGCGTTTGGCATTTCGATCGATCCGCAGTATATATGTACCAAACGGGAAGAAATTGCGAAGCACCATGTAATCGTAAATTCCTCAATATGACTCTTCGTATTGCTATTAATTCACTTATCGACTTGTGCATCTTTGTGTGCGAGAGAGAGGGAGAGAGAGAGGGAGGGAGAAAGAGAGAGGGAGAGGGAGGGAGGGAGAGAGAGAGAGAGAGAGAGAGGCAAGAGTAAAACAGAATAAAATATATCTCTTCGTAACCAATTTTCTCGGGAGAAATTATCGCTTTGCATGGTTGAAAACGGAAAAGAAATATTTTACGTTAATTTGACTCGATTTCTCGTTGCAATGATTATTCGCGTATATCTAAAAGTTGGCTCGAATTTTGGATAAATCCTTCACCGGTGTCCTATCTTGCTGACGTGTTTCACATAACGTTTAGACACGATTAAAGTCGATCGCATGCGTTCTCTGCAAAATTTCGGTAGTAATGAGATATTTTAATTCATTGCGGATATGGCCGTTCGATCGATGCACTGGCGGAGCCGGTTTGCACGCACTCATTATGCAGAACAACTGCGAACGCGAGACGAGGTCATTTCGTTATTCCAACACACGAATCGGATAGTTTTTGATTAATCTATCCGGCATTACGCGCTGCTTGTGTGTTACCGTCGACGGAGCGTGGGGATACATACTCGTGAAAATGTACATCATTCGCGAAAGTCGATAACTTCTCCTCGTCCCGACGAACGTAACGTGAGTAACGTCAACGGTTCTTGCGGTACATTGCAGCTTTTCTAACTACGTTATTTCTACTCGATTAACGAAGAAAATAAAAGGCATTGCTCGTAATTGATACTCCATATCGATAGGGCGGCTCTTCGAAACGAGATACTTCATCGTATTCGTTTCGAAATGCAAATACACGCCACACGTGTGTGTGCACTCTTTTACAGTCTTTTTTTTTCACTTGGAGCGTGATTTTCATCTCGATTATAAAATACGGCAAAAGAGCATCGCTGTGGGATTTTATTGTATAGTCACAATTGTCGGTCTCTTCTCTCTGCGCGGATATCCGTTAGTATGTAACCAGCGACGCTTCATTGTCGCGGATTGTGAATTTCGAAATTGCACTGTGTCGCAAACAACGACCGGCGATAATTGCGTACCGAAACAACGTGCGTGCGTGTGTGCGTGAATCTCCGACAAGTTGCACCTCACGCGTAACTAAAAGAAGTCATCGTCTTCCGGATCGAGACGGGAAGGAGGAGGACACGCGTCCGGACTCGTCGAGAGTAAATTAACTGTACGGTCGAGTGAAAAGCGGCACGCTTGTTTTGACACATACATGTTGATCTCTATTTATTTATCTCGGTCTCGTACGTATGTATAATAATATTACAACGTTATAACTGTATAACAGTAAACATGATTGAATATGCTTGATTGAAATACTCGTGAGTATGCCACTAAAACTGGCAAGTAAAATATGTACACATTGTAGGATGTCGCTTTATTGCCTCTAAAGGAGATATATGATTGACACTAAAGAAAAGAAAAAAGTAGACAGAGAAAGAGAGCGTGAACAAAAGAGATAAAGGATTGAGGAGAAAGAAAGAGAGGGAAAGAGGGAGAGAGAGAAAAGGGAGGGAGATGTGAGAAACAATGATGATAGTAATTACAATAGGACCAGGAGGATTGGTAGATAGATACACGCAGCGGTATTACAGTGGCAGCCGGCGACATATCTTAACTATTATCACAGATTAATACAGACAGCTTCTGTCATAGTTGGACATGACCGATCGTTACAATTTCGTCTTGCTATCTACCCTTCTGCAATAAATGTGCGAGTCGTGTGTGTATGTACGTATGTATGTGTGTGTATACACGTACGTGTTGTGTGTGTTCGTCGCGGGTGCACGGACAATTTAAAATACTTGCGCGTATGAGTAAATGTATAAAAATTCGGACGCACAAAGAATACAAGCTTCTCGCTTTTGTTCTTCGTCGCAGAGCCGTGCTAATGTATAGAGATATGTTAGACCGTGTACAAAATTAAAAAGTATGATAATACTATGTGTCTTATATTTTATTAATTCGGGACTAAATACTGTGTATAAATGTGTGTGTGTATATATATATATATATATATATATATGTATGTATATATGTATATATACACTCCCCGATATCTCGGAATTAACGTATGCATGCAGTTGTACTCGTTGGGAAGTTCGTCGTTCTTGTGAGATTCTCGGAGAGAATATTATTGGACACAAAATTTTATATCAGTATTTAAAATTCCTTTTAAATACATCCTTTCCAAATCCATTGTTTCACGTAGACTTGTTTTCAAGACGGCTCGAACGCTTGTTTCGCAATGCAGTTTGAAACGCGGCTGATTGCCCAATGAAATTATGCGTTTTTAATTCCCAAAAGTTCTCTCGTCGGGCTATGCGCTGCATTCCAAAGGAAGCTTTCACTGCGTCGAAGAAAAAAAAAGGAAGATAGTTCCAGCCGTTTTGAAACTCAGTGGTATTGTATACACAACGTATACTTAAGACTCATAGCCAATTTTAAAATATTACAAATTGACAAATTTTAAATGTGTACACTGTAAATTTTATAAATCACATTGATTCGTTCATAAAGTCGTGTTTTACAGTCTTCTGAATGCGGTAAGAAGTGTATGTATTAAATTTGACGCGTATGAGAAGCAGTTTTTGTCGCTTTCAAATAGTATGCAGTCATACAACACACGGTGTTTCGCTCGTATATCAGTTGTAAAGCGTCACTGTATAATGTTGATACTTTCCACTGTTTACGTCAGATTAAATTTTTGTGAGGGACCGAAAGAGCGTCTTCAAACCGCAGGAACCTTAATTTTATTAAAATGTCCTAAGAATTATTTAGACCAGTTAACAATATCTGTCGCTCCTTTGCTCCAAAAACTCTCTTTAATCCTACGCTTTAAACAAAATTTATTTAAAATATGGTAACTCATCATTGAACGCAGCAGAATTTTACATCATGATCAAAATGACACTGGTACACCTTAAAAGCAATTAGCGGAAGATATTTGTAGCAGTGATCGTTAATTAAAAACATTATCATTAAAATATTTCGTCTGATACTCCAATTACACGTGTATATATATATATGTGTGTGTGTGTGTATGTGTGTGTGAGAGACAACGGCTTTTAGGATTTTGCATGTGCGATGTGTGCGAGTTACCCTTCCATAAATGATTATAAATGAATAATAGGCCTTTGTTCTTGACTGTAGTATGCGAAAATATTTGACACATCAAAGGAATGCCGTTCTCACTAAATAAACCCTACGCGCGCGCACGGTATCTCGACTCTACAATTGTTAAATATACAATTGTTAAATAGAATACTAACATCTCGAAAGTATATTCCTCAGTTAGGATACGTTCTTAGGTATCGTATTTAGAATACAAAACTTATTGATATTAAAAAATATCCGGCGTTTCATGTCCACTCTGGTACTAACATATGCTCTCTGTTTTATTCTGTCCTATCATTGTATCAAATAATATTGTGAATATTGTGGCATGCTTATACAACGTCGCTAACAACATTTTTTCCTGTGCTGTCTTGTGCTTTTCCTCAGGTTGACGGTATCGTTGGGCTGTATGGCTTGCCGCTCCTTGCTCTCCTTTTTGGTCCGTAATACTTGCCGTGTTATCGCCATGAACATCTGCAAGCGATATGTTAGCTCGCAACGAATCGTCTAATTAAGCTTATGAACTTGGAAGGAAGAGCATTGTTTATACGACAGTGTGATACAATATGCGATTTGAAGCTTGATTTGTTAAAGTTCCTCGTTCTATTACAGCGGATCGATGACATCAAAAGCGAGAAGACGCGTACTAACAATTCTTGCGTGGTATTTTTAAAGTAAAAAGATATGAAAGAACATTCTTGAAGGATACTTGTAAAGGATACTTTGTTCCGAAAAGTATATTCTTGACAGTCAATAAATAGTAACATTAATATGGCAAAAGAGCATGAAGAAAATTAAGGTTAAAGAGGCAGATTGCAGGTTACGTTAATTTCAAGACTATTTATTGACTGTCAAGGGGGTAGAATACTATTCCAAATATTTTCCAAGTATATTCTAACGATCTCAAGTGTTTTTTCACACAAATATCTTTTTATTTAGAAATGATACGCAAGAATTTTGAATGTTCTCTCGCTTCATCAATCCAGCAGTGAGTGCCCAGGAATCTTAGGAACGTACCTCTTCGACATTGATGTTGTCCTTGGCGGAAGTCTCGAACAACTGAATTCCCATTTGATTGGCAAATCTTTGTGCGTCCTCCGTTAACACTACCTTCTGATTAGGTGCGTCGTTCTTATTTCCTACGAGTACCCTGTTAACCACATCACAATTCTGTTCGATTTCGTGTAACCATCGTTTAACGTTCGCAAACGTATCACCGCTGGTCACGTCGTAGACAACTATGACGCCGTGCGTTCCCCTATAGTAAGTTGAGGTTATTGTCCGGAAACGTTCCTGCCCGGCCGTATCCCAAATTTGCAGCTTTACTCTCTCACCATCTACCTCCACAGTTTGTATCTTAAAGTCCACTCCTATCGTTGTTATATAACTGCCATTGAAGGTATTGTCGGCGAATCTCAGAAGCAATGAGCTTTTGCCTACACCTTAAAAAGACAAAGAGAAATATACTTTTTTATGTATATTAAAGTAATACATAAGAAAACTTTTATTGCTCTCAGAAGAGAAAGTGAATCAATTGCTTTTCTACGAGTCACTTAATTAAAGTCCTAATTAAATGGAATCATGCAAGTCCTTATTAAAATTGTTCTCAACATTCTTAGAGTCATATTAATAGCTGTTACTTGAAACTTGCTTCGAATGATATTCTGATGTTAAATTTAGAGTTAAATGCGAACCTTTCAGTCAAATCGTGATTGCAAATGTAGCATTGCATATATTGTTCATACATGCATATGTTGATTCAGGTAAAAATTCAAATGTACCTCTAAATTGATGTTTGAATATTTCAAATAAAACAAGTTTCAAGTAATGACTATTGTACATAGCTATTGAATGTCCATGATGGAAATCATTTTCAAATTATTTTCAACTCCTAAATTACATGAAATGTCTGTTAACACTGAAATTTGGAATCAATCAGAATGATATTTATACAGTAAGTAGATATATATTCGTGTGTGTGTATGAATTTTCCAATCATTACAGCAGAGATTGCTTAATTAACGATCACATGATTGTGATAAGCGCACTGGAATATATTTCTCCTTTCATTATCTTGTGGTTTCCCTTTGTTAAAAGGAGGCATTATCTTGCACAACTGCTGCCAATCTATCTGTACAGGAAGAACAATTTTCACGTCATGAAGTCGAAGCTGCACCGCGACAGAGCAACGTGCCTCATCATTCAATAAACCGCCAGTGAAACTGCGTAATGACAGGCGATCAGCTCAAGAGTGTGCCGCGACGACTTTCGCGAGCTTCGTTCCTCTCGTCGCGCTTCTTCGCGCCCGACGCATCTGGAGCAAGACCATGTGTGCGCTCATTAGAAATGGAAACGAGGCGAAGCGCGAAAAAGCACGGAACTGACGAGAGAACGGAGAGCTCTCTGATCGCGTTCGTTCACACGAACGCATTCCGCGACAGTATACGATGGTGGTGGTTGCATGCGTGCGTATTTACCGCTGTCCCCTATGATGAGCAGCTTGAATAAGTGGTCGTATTCCCGGGCCATTTTGACACGCGCGAGGTGTCTCCCCAAGATACTGCCGCACTATCTCCGGACTCGTTTGTAACGTCGGCCGACACGTTCGCGCGAGATATTTTTGCCGATGCGCCTTCGTTCGAGCGTATACACGACAAAGATACGATGCACTAGCCCTGCGCGATCGTCAGCAACAGAAACAACAACGACGGCGATGATGATGATGATGATGATTACGACGGCGGCGGCGGCGGTAGTGACGGCAGCAACAACAGCAACGACAGCGGTAGGATTCGCGACTCGCCTAGACCGGAGGACGACTCTAGTATCAAATGATCGCCATGTTTATACGCCGCGTTATCACCATTCATTATCATTACTACGGGAGAAAAAAGTGCTACTCTCGTTCAACGCGACGCCCATCCCATATCAAATTGTCACCAACTTGTCACTGCCGCCATGTTTCTTCCCGAGACGTACGACCGCGTTCGCAACGTGACGGATTATGAGTCCCATTTTCATGTGTGTGCGCTTTCGTTTCATCGAAGTGCGCCTTGAAAACTGCTGACCCGTCTGATCCGTTGTTGAGCCGTACCACTTCCTCAATTTCTAAGTAGAGGCACGGCTCTTATGATGTACATATATATATATATATATATACACACCACAAATTTATTTAACAAGCTAATTCTAACTTTCTAATAATAACAATAAAATATAACGAGATTTTTTAATGAAGAATGTGAAAGTGCATATGATTCTTTAGCCGTGAATATCGCTCTCATACAGGCTGATAAATGCTCATAACCTTATGTGTCAAATGCACACCGACTGGATGATCGAAGTCATCGACAGCAACGATGATTTGCATAATTTACGGTGTATGAATGAGCGTACACGATCTATGCGGCACGATACATACACTTGGTGAAACGTAGAAGATGGTGTATGTCACGCCAACGCGTATATTGCATAAAACCAACAGAATGACATACCACTATCGCAATATCGCTGTGATATGTTTGTTATCATTTACACTGTTTGTCGTATTACTGTATGGTGTACTGTTTACAGTATTATATGTTTTCAAATTTGGCAATACGCAGAAACATTCCGATTATATTCCTGTAACACTGAGCGATATAAATGCTCTACCTATTGAAACCTTATCCATGGACTTTGCTGCAGCAGAAGCCACCAATTCTTCATGCACCTATTTCGGTTGTTTCAACGTCTACCGGTGCGGCAGCCAAGGGAACAAGCTTTTGGTATATGTTTATCCACCCAAAATTTATTTGGATTCCATGGGTAGACCTATAACAAGCCAAATGACGAAGGAGTTCTATCAGATCCTGAATGTCATAATCAACAGTAAATTTTACACACCCAATCCATATGAAGCTTGCATCTTTGTTCCTGCCATCGATACACTCAATCAAAATAGATTGAGACTACAGGAAGTATCTCAAGCACTAGGATCCTTACCTTTGTAAGTTTTACTTCTTTAATCATGTTTCTACTTAATTTATATCATTCACTAATTATATTGGATCTATTGCATATGAGTATAGCTGGAACAAAGGAGAGAATCATTTGATTTTCAACATGGTGCCTGGAAGTGTACCAGATTATAACACAGTCATTGATGTGCCAATAGGAAGGTCAATCATTGCAGGTGCTGGAATGTCATCGTTGACATACAGACCTGGTTTTGACATCAGTCTACCAGTCTACAGTCCATTAGTGAACAATGTGAAGACAAATTTGAGTAATACACGGTAATATTTTTAAGAAGATAATTGAGAGTAATAAAAAATAATGTTTTGTCACTTTATAATTTACAAATTTAATTGAATTTACATTTAATATTTATTTCTTATGGTTCAGAACATGGCTGGTGATATCTTCACAAATCAATATTAACACTGCCTTTGAACAAGATCTGATGAGAGTAAAAACCACGTATCCAAAGGATATTTTGATATTGGGACCGTGTTTGCAATATAATCCAATGAATAACACGATACGTTGTATAGGAGAGGATATATACAAATATCCAGATATTTTACATGTAATATAATTATAATAATTTCCAAGAAAATTTCTTTTTTGTTAACATTAATGTATAACATGTAGTATAATAGAGTTTACTTTTTCCACACAGTCGGCAACATTTTGTTTGATAATTCGTGGCGCTAGACTCGCCCAAAGTGCACTTCTGGATGCAATGGCAGCTGGGTGCATACCTGTTATCATAGCAGATTCTCTAACAATGCCATTTCACGATGTGATTGACTGGACTAGGTGAGACGAGCTGCTCGAAAATTAAGATACGCGATAATATGCAAACATTTATTACTTATGAATCTATTTTTTACTCAGAGCTGCTGTTCTTGTACGTGAAGTTGACATTTTGTTGATCATACAATTATTAAAGAAGATATCGCATCAACGTATCACGGAGATGCAAGAACAAAACGCATGGCTCTACGACCGTTATTTCAGTTCGATGGAGAAGATTACGGAAACCACGTTGGAGATACTCGCGGATCGTGTGTTTCCGCATTTAACACGAGACTACACGTATTGGAATATACCATTTTACAAGGTAAAGGTGACGGAAAATTATCGGCAAGAAGTGGAGAGTTAAATCCGTGTTTCACGTGTTGTAAGAAAATAATGATGCACGCACAGGGAAGGACCTCACCGCTTTTTTTACCAGTAACCGCCCCTAAAACGCGCGGTTTCACAGCTGTAATACTAACGTATGACAGACTGGAATTATTGTTCCTGTTAATTAATAAACTCGTCAAGGTACCGAGTTTATCCAAAGTTTTGGTAATTTGGAACAATCAGCAAAAAGATCCGCCGCATTGTAAGAAGTTCTGACATATTTATCTTATCGCGTGCTATAAAGTCTCGATCGTCTAATATATTAGTTTCATTTTGTAACACACTGCAGCATCACGATGGCCAAAAGTCAATAAACCGTTAAAGGTAATTCAAACAAAAGAGAATAAACTATCCAACCGATTTTATCCGTACGATGAAATCGAAACCGAAGCAGTATTGTCGATAGACGACGATATCATTATGTTAACTGCTGATGAAGTGGAATTTGCATATGAGGTGCGCTTCAAACGCTTTATGGTCAAAATAAATATACATTTGCACTACTTTTTATGGTAGCAATAAGTATTTTAAATATTTCTTTATATTTTTAGGTATGGAGAGAATTTCCAGATAGGATCGTTGGCTTTCCATCGCGCATACATATGTGGGATAACGGAACCAATTGTTGGAAATACGAGAGTGAGTGGACAAACAGTATCTCCATGGTTTTAACGGGTGCAGCTTTTCACCATAAGGTAAACGTTGTTGCTGCTTGATTACCGAATTGTAACCGGATTTTCTTTCTTTTCGTTTGCCCAACATGTTTCAGACCACAAAAATCCCGAGATGAAAAATCCTTGGATCTTGTTCCACTTAGCGCAAAAATGAAATACATCCTTTCCCGTTATCCTTATCAAGAGTGCACGAGATAATCCAGCAAAGTAACTTATACTTTTTCTCACAGGCATATTTGTTATCGCATGTGAAACGATATTCAAGGTGATTTTTTTCAGTATTGGAACTACATATATACAACAGCTATGCCCGGTGACATTAAAGAATGGGTCGACGAGCATATGAATTGCGAGGACATCGCGATGAATTTTCTCGTAGCGAATATTACCGGAAAAGCCCCGATAAAAGTGAGCAAATACGATTGAGTTACATAACGAACGTGATACACTATCCTAAAAACTTACAATATATTACACATACAATATCGCAGGTGACACCAAAAAAGAAATTCCGATGTCCCGAGTGTACCAACACTGAAATGCTGTCCGCGGATTTGACGCACATGGTAGAACGTACGCAATGTATTAATAAGTTCTCTTCTATTTATGGGACTATGCCGTTAAAATCGGTCGAATTTCGTGCGGATCCGGTACTCTTCAAGGACGTATTTCCTGAGAAACTAAAGAGGTTTAACGACATAGGTAGTTTATAATCTTGTATATAAAGTTTTGTATGTATTGTATATTTGTCTCAATGCTCAGAACACTCGATTATAGTATAATTCTATTAAAAGAGTATATTTTAAATTATTATCAAGAGTTTATTATACTTGTGTACGATTTAACATAAACACATCAAATGTAGGAAAATGTTTGCAAAACTGTATATTATAAAATGATGATTGTGTAAAATGACTTGTCACAGCGACACTATTATGAATTTGAAAAAATAACATTTTGCGATTTTGTACAAAAGTGTTGTGTGTATATAATTCATAATACTATAAGTTATTTCATAAAAAAAGTACCTACACCCTATCTATAAAGTTTCAATCAGGCTTCAAGTTTCGTTATTTTAAAACAGACACCTTCAACAATAACTTTTTTGCCTACTTCAGATGATGGTAAGACTGACATATAACTCTGCAAATAGAAAAAAAAATTAGTAATTTTAGTAATAAAAAAATTAATACATTTCACGTTTAAAAATGTGTGCACAAAAGAAGAAAATTGAAGCAAATAAAGAAAATGGAATACGCACTACTGGTGCGTTTTCACATGTGTTCATATAGCCTATTATCATAGAATTTGTGGAATGGCTCCAGAGAAAATCGCCCAATCCTTCCTGCGGCGAATATCGTATGGCAATTACGCCACCAAGTTTCTGTTCAAGTCCATCGAGAAACTTCGAATCTGGAAGTACGAGAAAATCGTTATCTAATTCGTTAAACATTAGTGATAATCGACTATCAGTGATAAATCTACGATAAATGGTTGCAAAGTAGTTACGGGTTTTCACCGATAAAATCTTCGTTCATTGCTCGATGCATGCTTGTAGTTGGACAAGGTGCTTCGGAAATAGCTTCCGCGATTGTGCGCGCTAACGAAGTACGCACGAGGTGTTCTCCGCAACCTGATGTACTAGCACCTATCGAGTAAGATGTATCTTTACAAGCCCAAGTACCACAGCCCCATACTCCGGCCTGAAAAAAAATGAAAAATTGAAATTCAACAGAAATAATAAAACATACAGAAACATTAAAATCATAAAACATTAAAACATAAATATATCAGTATTTGAGGAAATCTTTTCACATTCTGTAGAACGATATGAAAAGCTATGACATGAATTGACCACATACCTGTCCAACTCTTCCAGGGTATTTCAATATTATACCTCCACTCGAACAAGCTGTAGCAATGTTTCCACTATCATCGACACATATAGCACCTACTGTGTCCATTCTTTTCTTAGCACACTGCAGCAGTAAAATAATTTCTATATACAACAATGAAATTTGTTTGAATTGGAACAATATTAAGTAATTTTTCTTGATACCTTTTGAATCTCCACACTGTTGTCTTCTACTTTTCTCTTGTAGTGTTTATAGATTTTCTGCGCTCTCACTGAAATGAATTATCAGAATGTTTGATAAATAAATTTCTATATTTACCAAGAATTAGAGGAAATTTTCTTTCATACATACTTGATATTAACTGTTCTGGTGGTAAGGTTTGTATACCCATTTCATGTGCCCAAATATGAGCGCCATTTCCAACTAAGAAGCTAGGAATAAAGATTATTATAATTGAAATATTGGAATTATTAACATAAGGCTGAATTAGCATTGAGTATATACCTAGGTGGGATTCTGCCATATGGAAATTTAATGGATTGTTGTTCACACAAACGCTTTGCCAACAACACAGGATTTTTTATTCCACTTACTGCACCAACTGCACCAAACTGCAAGCTACTACCATCCATTACACTTGCATCACACTCTACTGTTCCATTTAAAGTAAGATTTGATCCAAATCCAGCATTTGTCATGGGAGAATCTTCTAGTTCAACTGTAGCTTTGACAACAGCATCTAATGCACTACCACCTAATTTCAGACTTTCAGTTCCCTAATAAAATATAAAATTATAAGGGAGATGACACAACATGATAAGGAAGATTTATAAAAAGAAGTTTAATTTATTGCGCATAGTTAATTCAGTTGGAAATCTTACCACTTTGCATGCTTCACGACACAACTTTTGATACTTTTCTTTGAGTGATACTGAATGCTGACCAGCACCTAATAATAAAGAATAATAAGATAATTTATAAAAATATTAAACATAAATAATACTTACATACACTTGATCAAAAATACATACCTACGTGCACAGCAATAAATCCCTGTTTAATATTACTCATGAGACTAAATATTGTTTCTTTTATTTGTGGAATATATTTTTTATTGAAAGTAATTATATACTTTTGAGTCTTCGCTTCTGATTTGACTGAAACTCTACAATATATTGCGTATTTTCACGCGTAAAAACTAAATATGTAAGTTAAAATTATTGCTCTGTCCTGTAAAGCGAGATATTAATCGTTAAAATTAACGGGTATGACAGGTTATGAAATCTGTCAGCGACGAAATGTCAATACAGATGCTGTTTATAGCCATCATTACCAAGATTCTTTATAAAAAAAGTGGCGGCTCGTAGCGGAGACTTTGGAACTTATAGCGAATTCGGTTGCTTGCACTAGTGTGCACTGAGTGCGCACTAAGGCTTGTTCATAGTATGTTATTATATTTAAAAATTGTCTTAAATAATTCTCAAATAAATTCTCAAATATTTTTAACCATAATATGATATGTATAACATCCGTACGAATCATTTTATTAGTTAAAATGTTTTTAAATATGTATTTAAGACACGATCTTAAATATAAGAATGTACTGTAAACAAGCCTTAATGCGCACTCAGTGCGCACTAGTGCAAGCTACCGAATTCGCTATAATTTTAAGGAATAACGGCGACGTTGGACGAGCCGCCACTTTTTTCAATAAAGAATCGAGGTAATGATGACTATAAACAGCATGGCCCGTATTCTGAGTTCTCTTTTAACGATAAATAAGCCTCTAAAGGAAGTTCAGGAGCCACCTGATTGGCTGAAAAGCTATATTTAATGCACTTTTATCGATAAAAGAGGATTCAGAATATGGGCCCATTTGTACTGGCCAACATGCAGAAACAATAGGTCTAATGTATTCCTTGGATCCGTTATTTCTATAAATTAAAACAAGCATCGTGGGCCTATTGTTCTCTTGATAAGCTATCTAATAGTTAAATCATATGTCTATCTCTGTGCAATTTGAAGAAAAAATGAAGACAGCCCTTATAGAAATATCATACTAAGAATCATTGATAATTACTTATTTTCAGTATTAAAAATACTGGATAATAAGTAATTATCAATGATTCTTAGTATGATATTTCTATAAGGGAGACATATTTAACCTGTCAGGATTTAACTGTCAGGTAGGAAAAGGTTGGAACAATCGGCCCTGTGTGCTGCTGGTTTTAAGAAGAACCGAGATCGTAATACAAGTCAATGACAAATCAGACGTATATTTCCAAATGATACAATTCAACAACAGGTTAGACACACTATCATAAAAAATATATAAAATCGAATTGTTTATAACCGTAAAACTAATGATAATAAAATAACCAAGTATTTTACAGCTTGTAGTTTCTAATTTTCAGATATTTTAAGATAATAATGTTGTTTTTTTATCAAATGTAACGCATTGAATGAAAAATAACGACAGTTCAATTATGGCTTTGTTTCAAGATTTTTGTCACCACTCTGCAAATTTGTACTATATATGAACTACAATAATAAACTTCTAGCTCTTGTAGAAAAACATCGTATCGTGTCGCTTCTTGTCGTGCAACACAACGATCTCATGTTCAGTGTGTAGAAGCCATGTAACTGAGAAAAATAATTCTTTAACTTTGCATAGCGTGTATGTACAACAAAATGTATGTGTAATAAAATGCGTATATTTAAAATTTGACGGAAGGAAAAGATGCAAGAGAAAATACAGAGAGTGCAATGAATAATAACAGATCTTGCTTGAAACTCAACACAGAGGATGCTCCAGTCGTTCCTCTTGCGTAAATACGTAGTTGCTAACTCGCTGTGCTCATAACCTATGTCGAGCGCGATATATGTGTGCGGTACGATTTGCCGCTACTGGTTATATATGTCGAGACAGTTGTGTAAAATTAAATGTACCATAAACGACAAGTTATGTATGCCTCGTATGCCGTGTGAACAGTACGCCGGTCTTCGATTCGACACTCGTGTGCTGAATATAACGTAATATTCAAGTAAGCATCAACCGGAACGCATATGCGCCGTGGGTCGCAGAATGAGATGTGAACGTTTTACATACTCCGACGCACATGTCCGTTTACAGTAACAAAATTTATTTCCATTGATGATAAGTGCAGAGCGTAATGGTGATAACGGCTGTGCTTTTAGATTAAATCTTCAGTGGTGTTCACAGACGGCAATTTCGAAACGACGGACGAGATACGGATCACAGCTCGCTTTACTGATACTTCCGCTGCACTCGTCTAATTTCAAGCATTACGTGAATATTCTTACTTAAAGACACACATATATATGCTATCTTAAATACGCGAAAGTCTGTATTCGTATCCCGCATTCGACATCAACTGTGGAGCCTTGATTCTTGGCTTGACATTACATTGTACTTGATCTTCATACGAGAGTATATTTAACGCCATACACGAGATACAAACACAGATTTCAGTGTTTGCCTTGCATCAAAGTCTCATTCTGTACCTCTGCTCTGTTTAATGCGCAATTAAACTATGTATAGCGACTGAATTTGACTATACGCATGGGTTTATTTCTTTTCTTCTCTGTTTTTAGGTTGGATTATAGTAACAGAATCCTCACAGAAACACATTGAATGGACAATAACATAGTTTATGCAGAGAATATATATGGGTCATATATCACATAATTTAATACTCCAACATGATATTTGACTTCCTGAAGAAGATCTTTGGATGGGCAGATGAAGGATCCAGAAAGCGGAAGGCTTCCGAGTCCTGTAGTTTCGAAAGGAGGCATGTGATACCGAAGAAACTTAAAACTGATTGCAGCATGCCACACTGGATGGATGAATATTCTGACATCGATGAAGATGATGACATAATATTTTTGAGCGAGCACAAATTCTTGCCAAGGAATTCGTGCACAAAGATGAATGGCACCCACAAGAAGGCAGCACAGTCTTACCAGTTTCACGCAGTAAGCTCGAACCCTGTCTACAAACCTGTCTGTTCGTCGTCGTCACTGCATCGCGATAACTCCACTATGTCGCCCTGCTTTGCCAGTCAGAAGCACAAGATGCAAGATATCAGTGGCAAGTGTCACACGCTAGTCAGGACTAATCAATTGAAGGAGAGATATCAATACGAGGAGCTGCTGCAAAACTTTCTTCCAAGTAGGATACAGATATTGAAAGATAAATGCGTGGAGCACACTCCGGTGCAGAATGTTATCGAGGTGGTCGAATTGGACGACAACGTGGAAGATCCTCCGGCCGAGAAGACGCGGCAGATCACCGCAAGGACAGCCGGCGAGATGGCGTCACGTTGGCGCAAGAGTATATTAAACAACACTAGAGCAGACAAAGGGAGAGCTTCTACTTCCGATCACAGAGAGAAGAATGACGAGATTGCATCGGCGAGGACGTATCAGCAGTCCAACAAAACAGCCAGCAGAAGTGAGAGTGCCGACGCAAGCAGACTGAAGTCGATATCTTCGCCGCCAGTCAAGCCCGTTGCGACCAACTCGTTGCGTGACGAACTCGCGGCAAAAGCCGTCATGAGGCAGGACTTCATCCCTGAGGTCGCCAAGAGGTATAACGAGCGGATCGAGCAGCGGTACAGAGAAGCCGAGGAGCTGAAGAGGATGACCTGCGTCCTGTCGAAGCACAATCGGTACGCGAGGGAGGCGGCCCTGGAGGAACAACTGGCGCGCTCCATGAAACTCTGCATGGCCGTCTTAGACGAGAGAGAGGAGCCGGATGAGCCACCGTTGCCGAAGCTAACTGATGAGATGCAGCGCGAAATAAAGAACGCCTTGGTGCCGTGTCCACAGGGCGAGGTGCTCGTGGACGGTTTCGGTCTGAGGATCACGCGGAAGGATATCCATACCTTGGTCGGGCTGAACTGGCTGAACGACGAAGTGATCAACTTCTACATGAATTTGCTGATCACTCGCGGCACCACCGGCAAGTATCCGAAGGTGCACGCGATGAACACCTTCTTCTATCCTAAGTTGCTGTCGGGCGGTCACTCGTCTCTGAAGCGATGGACACGGAAGGTAGACGTATTCGCGCAGGACCTCATAGTCGTGCCCGTGCACCTGGATATTCACTGGTGCATGTCGATAATAGATTTCCGGGAAAAGTCTATTCTCTATTACGACAGCATGGGCGGCAGTAATCCGAAGTGTCTCGCGGCGTTGAAGCAGTATCTGCAGGACGAGAGTTTGGACAAGAAGAAGAAAACGTACGACATGAGCGACTGGAAGTTGCAGTCGGTAAAAGACATTCCACAGCAGATGAACGGCAGCGATTGCGGGGTGTTCTCCTGCATGTTCGCCGAGTACGTCTGCGCGAACAAGAAGATAACGTTCACGCAGCAAGACATGCCGTACTTTAGGAACAAAATGGTTTACGAGATACTGAAGTCGAAACTCTTGTAAACGGCTGGCTTATCATGGTTTTCGCGCAAGTTAGAAGAAATAACGGACAGTGGTGCAAAACCGCAAATTAATCATAAATATGAGTTTGATTTTAAGGAATCTTAAGGAATCCTACGAAAGATGAAGAATATCTGTCTGCTACAAAAGTAACGATGTATTATTATTGTTTTCCGAAGGAGAGAAGGGGGAAAAAGAGAAGGATTATACATTGTAACAAGCTTCCTCTGATTAAATATACTTCGTTGGATGTCAAAGTGGAACTGTACTCTCATCTTAAAACACAAAGGAACAGAAGATGTGTCCTTGTCTTGTGTAACGATTAACACTGTTGTTTCAGAATAAACTTCAACAAATTAACGTAGATATATGTGTGCTATATATAAATGTAAAACGTTTTCCAAGTATACAGAAAGGACAGTGTGATCCGTAAAATGCGTTTTACGTTTAGTAAATATATTGACTGTCACTATTAGTTCGACCTATGTATTTTTTACTGCTTCTGGAGTTTAGTATTAGAATTAATTTTGATGTAAGAGCTTAGAGTTACAATTCATCATTCACAATTGTTGGTATTTTATTTACAATTACACCTTTAGAAGCAATATTGAACAATTGAAAATAAACAATGCTGTCAAGAACAGCAAAAACATTAGATTATTTTCAATTTTTTTAATTCTCAGCTATATTGTTCATAAATATTTACAGAAAATATAAGTAAATGAAATAAATCGAAAGTTTTATTCACGCGCGCGCGCGGATGGGTGTGCACACTTGTGCCCAATTTAAAATGGCAGCTTGACACTGACAGCTTCAGATGCTTGTCTATCCAAAGCGTCCAAATATACGTTTGTGTATTCCGCAATTAAAACGTAAATACGCAACAGGTTTAGATCTATTTCATAGAATTGCGTTGTACAGACAGTACAAAGTTGCGCGGATTTATACCGGATATTTACTGTTCATTGCAATCACATTTGCAAATTGTGAATCATCTAACCTATCTTGGTGCTAAGAAACCGGCTTTTTAGCACGTCGTACTGAATAAAATGAGTTCGTACAGCGTGGTCACGTCCGACTTTGTGAATCTATCAATTACGAACTCAGGTCAAGAGTCATGTTACGTCGAACGTCGATTTCAGAAAGGCATAACTGTTGACGAGTTTAAAGTAAGATTTCTCTTTCCTTTTCTAAAATTCTTGCTTATATAGATGCAAAGATCTAAAATGTACAATTTATAGGGAAAGTTGGAGCTTCTTACAGGAGGCAATCCAATTACAATGTCGGTTGAAGTTTATGATAAGAATGACAAACTCATTTGCAAATTGGAAGAAGGATCTCGCCTTCTGGGATCGTATCCAATTGATGATGGCATGAGGATACATGTAAGATATTAACAATACAAACGTACATATATTAACAAAACCTGTGTCTTCTTAAAATTACCTCAAACTGTGTAAAGTCGCAGAAAGCATTAATCATCAATATTACAATTGTAGGTCATTGACAATTTCTCATGCACTACAGAAGATTTAGATCGTGTAAAAAAGTTTGAAATATCTGAGGAAGAATATGCCAAGAAAACAGGTAACATTATTATATCTATTTTGAGTTAAAATGCTATGAGTAAGTATCTATAGTTATGCTTTATATTGCAGATACTGTTAAAGCATTCCTTGAGAAAAATAAACTAGGAAAATATAATGAAGAGGATATGAAAAGGAGAGCAGAAGAGAAAAAATGCGAGGAGGAGGCAGAAGAACGTTTAGCTAGCTTATGCAAAATTGGAAATCGCTGTGAAGTATCTGTTCCAAATCAACCAAAGCGTAGAGCCACCATCTTGTATGTTGGTTAGTAGAAAATTATATTTTATACTAATAAATCTTTTTAATCTTAAATTCTACGATTCTATATAAATATTTTATTGCTATATTAGGTAAAACTGAGTTTAAAGAAGGCTGGTGGATCGGTGTCAAGTATGATGAACCTCTTGGCAAAAATGATGGAAGGTATAAACACCTATTTAATATCTTCATAATGCTATACTGATATATATCTCTCTTTATTTATGCTTATTATATGTCCTTAATAGTGTTGGTGGCAAAAGGTATTTTGAATGTGCACCAAAATATGGTGGTTTTGTGAAGCCAATGCATATAAAGGTTGGAGACTTTCCTGAAGAAGATTTCGATTTGAATGAAGAGTTGTGAGATACCAAGATGGACTCGGACATCCTTTTTATTATGTTATCAAAAAATAATCTTATATAAAATAACTTTTTATAAGTTCAATAGAATTTAAAGAAGAATCGTAGAATTTAAGATTAAAACAAAAGATTTATTAGTATAAAATACAATTTTCTTTTTTAATTTAGCGAATGCTTCAAGTGCCGATATATCGGTATCGTCTAACATTATTTCTAGTAAGCTTATGTATAAAAAATTCAATTCTTTTCTTTATATATTGCAACAAAAACTATAATTTAGAATTTGACAGTAAATGTTGGTCAGAGATCATTGTCAATGCTTGGCAAGGGGAGCTGAGTTAGCTAATTGATTTCTTTTTAAATAAATATGAAGATATTAAAGTTATATAAGTAACGTATTTTTTCAGAATTTAAGAGTTACATTATTTTTCAAGTATTTAAAAGAAACTGTATTTACACTATTTACATTTTTTCCCTCTTGATACTTACATTTCGTACAACAGTAAATGTCATTTACTATTTTACGTTTTAATAAAAATATTAAGTTACTCATACATGTATATATTTGTTTCAGTCCTATGCTTCTTTTCTATTTATATATGCGATGGTTACATTTTTCAATATGTGAGTGTAATATTTAAATTCTGCATAGATTTATAAAAATGCCAAACATAAAAGTTACACCACGAGATGCTCATTCAGTACTTCCTTCGTTTTATTATGTCGGGTCTCCAGTTAACGGGATGGGTTTCTTCGGTCTAGAAATATAGACAATATAAAATAATATAAAACTTAAAATAGATAATCCTCAATAATGATATCAGCATAATACCAACAAATTGCATGTATGTATATATATAAAATATATTAGTTAAACAAAATCTATTTACCGCAGTATCATCTTCTTTGTACACTTTTATTGTTTTATCGGCTTCTGTCGTAATCATACGAGTGCCTGACATATCAAAGGTGATACTAAACACTCCAGCCTCACTGTCCATAGAACCAGGTTGTACTGGCGCTTGGAGTCGTTGGAAATTGTATCTTAAATTAACAATTATTACGATTATTAGTATATCAGTTGTTTACACGTTATAGAGATTATTCATTTATAAATAATAGACAATTTATATACACTACCCAGTTCTCCAATCCCAAAGATGCATAGTACCATTGTCGGCGCCGGAGACTAAAACTCCATCAAGATTTACGGCTAAACAGTTTACTATAGCGTTGTGACCAGATAAATTTTGAATAAATTTTCCTTCTGGACACTTCCATTGCTTAATATTGTCTGGTGATGCAGATGCGAACATATACCTATTAATTAAAGTAAAATTAAAAAGAAGCAATATCGATAAGACGTTGAATCATATTAAAATAAGCGTTCATATGTACTAACAGTGATGGATGGAATGTTACAGCTCTCACACTCTTCTTATGGTTGGTCAAAGTAGCTCTAGATTTTCCAGCAGCCAAGTCCCATAGACGAATTGTGCAATCATGGCTGCCGGTAACAATCTAAGATGTAAAGAAATTTTATATTAAGCGATTATATTTCACGTATTAACATAGTTTCATTGTTGGTGAAATAAGTTTTATAAGAAAATATATTTTTTTAATTAGGTAAGCATATGTATAACGAAAATAATTACTTGTGGTTCAGCAGATTGACAAATCACACTAGCGACTGTATTGGTGTGTCCGACAAGCGTATGAACATTTGCCTTGGTACGCATATCCCACACTCTCCCAGTAGAATCTCGTCCTGCTGTTACGAGAACGTCTATAGAAGGATGCAACGCCATGGAATATACCGCCGATAAATGACCATGATAATGCCGTATTACCTAAAAAAAAACATACATTTTAAAAATACCAAAATTATTGGCGCAATAATCGTCAATATATTTATATATGTCTTATTAATAACCTTGTTATATTCAAGATCCCAACATTTCACTTGACGATCCTCGCCGCAGGAAAACAGGTAAGGATGTCTCTGAGAAAACGCGAGTCCACGAACACTGCTTATATGACCAGTCAGAGAGACTTTTAATTTACCACTTGCTAGGTCCCATATCTGGAATTTTGGAAGTCACATCATAGTTATTAACTTTGCCTTTTCTTTCAGTTGCTTGTATTTTTAAATAAAATGTATTTATATAAAAGTAGAATGAATTTTAATGAGTGCATAATGTTTTTCCTTTTTTAAAATTAAGTACTTACTTTGATTACTCTATCAGCTGAGCCAGTAGCAAACCATTCATTGCCAGGTTCAATAGCACAACATCGAACCCACCCGAGATGACCACTGATAACTCTGTATAATTTCCAGGGTGCATGCCACTTTGGTTTTGCCATTGATGGTGTTTTCTTTGGTGGTATTGTTAAAGCATTACTATTGGTGTTACTTGCTCCAGCTGGTAACGCAACCACTCCTGTACTTCCTTGTGTTGCATTATAAGGAACAATTGCAGAAGTAATATTACTTCCAAAAGAGTCATCTGGAAATACA